ATTAGTATTAGTATGAAAGAGATATAAAGTAATGTGTGTATCTAATAACAATAAGAATCAGGTTTCAATTGAGCTGTTATTCTAACAACAAATAGTTTTTATGCTGGTGCTTTTCGACAGCTTTTTAATGGCCCCCTAGGCCATTTAACGAATGGTCAAAGTTGAAACAAAGTTAATAAAAAAAGTTTGCTGTTTGTTTTCAACTTTTTGTGGTTTTGTTATAATGGTAGGAAACTACGTAACAAAAAATCGTTTATAGTGGAATTGTAGATGTTAGACGGTTCCAGTAGAACGAGAATAACGGAAAAGTAAAATGAAAATGCGACGTGAGTCTGACACTTTTTTCCTTCTTCAAAATCAATCAAAATATATCTATATTCAATCAACGTAATAGCATTAATGTTAAAAAGGCCTTAGATTTACAAGTGTGTATTTTATTTCACATAAAGATAGAGCCGTTAAATCGAAGTGAATTCAATAGACCAATATTGATGTGATAAGAAAGAGAATTATCACATTGTGTACGATAACAATCGAGGAGGTTTGGCAATAACAATAATAGTACCTATTCTTAAGTTTCTTCACATACCGCACCGAAATTTAATTAGACGATATTTTTTTTTGCTTCTAAATGTGGTTCTTATTTTCGTATCGCTTCAGAAGTGTAGCAATTTTCCAATCCCACCTCATAACATAAACGAACCTAATTATCCATTAAATTTCTCAATCATAGAAGTTCATGACTTGTTTTTTTTTTACCTTATTCCTTCGATCTTATGTCTCTCCTTCCATTGATTATGTTTTGATGGTGAAAAATTACCTCTCCCATGTATTTGAGATTACTGTGCAAACAGTTGAGATGAAAATGCAAGCACTTCACTCATTCGTATTTTAGTTTACACTCAATTTTTTTAAGTCGATAATAAATTAATAAAAAAAATTAATTTTAATTAAAAACAAAATATCAATTTTAATATTTGTTGACTTATTTAAATAAAACCTACGAAAAATGTTTTATTGAAAGCGAAAAGCGTACTAAAAACATTTCATAAAGGGAGAAAAGAAAGCAAAGAAAAATAATTTGCCACCTCCATACCCCTAAACATACAAAACCATCCATTCATATTTTATAAGTGCGATGTTACAATTCAAATCAAGTACACTCTTTGTAAAATCGTGACTTGAATTGCGTTGACAAGTATAAGATATACCTATGAAGAGTAAAACGCAGGGTGTTGAATGAAAATAGTTAAGGGAGAAATCTTTTCATTCATCGTTAGCTTACTGAATGTTATTTCAATATAAAAAAAGCTTGATGTTGTTCAACTACTATTAAATTGAAGCGTTATAATATATTTCATGATTCTACAGTTTCATATTTTGCTTCTTATTACATATTATTTTTCTTTTTTTATGCTACCCTTTTCTCTCCTTTTCACCTGACTTAACATCAATGACAATAAATTTTATTGTCAAAGGAAATGGCTAATTATATGGCAATGTTACGTTATCCTCACGTACGATTATTTTATTAAATAAATTTATATATATATAAATGTTATCAGTATAAAATTGAGTTCGATAAACATTTATTACAATGATCACAGTAATTAGAACCAGTTTTTTGGCCTTTTTTTTTCTTTTTCACTTTCTTTTACTATAGTTTTGAACAATTGTTTTTAAAAAAACGGTTGCAAAAAAGACCAAAAGTATGGAACTGCTAATGATTTAATTAATGTAAAAATATTAAAATAGAATTAAATTATTATTATTTTTTGTTGTAGTTCTATGATCTACAAATAAAGTTAAAGTTTAACAAATTTTTAAATATTTCAATAGCTACCATTCAATAAGTTTAAAAGAAAAATCAGAGATCGAAACCGATTTTTTCGGCTTAACTCAATTTTTGATTTTTTTGATAGAAAAAAGCCATTTGACACCCATTTCAAGTATTTAAATTGAACTTTACATGCTTTACTATGATTCTGTGTAATATTTTGTCAGCATGTAGCTACAGTGAGCTCAGAATTTCAATTTAGTCGATGCTAAGCCGATCGGCTTAAATTTCGGCTTAAAATCGGCTAAATTGAAATTCTGAGCTCACTATAGCTACATGCTGACAAAATATTACACAGAATCATAGTAAAGCATGTAAAGTTAAATTTAAATACTTGAAATGGGTGTCAAATGGCTTTTTTCTATCAAAAAAATCAAATTGAGTTAAGCCGAAAAAATCGGCTTCGATCTCTGAGAAAAATAAATTTTTTAGGAAGTCAAAAGTTTGATTCACACTCATTTTATAAATAGTATTTTTTCAACTTTAGTCCCTTTTCAAGAAAAGTTTACTGATATCTACAATAAAGAATGTGAAGGAGAACGAGAGAAGAACACAAAAAATAATTTCAAAGTCTATTAACATCCAATATTTTTTATTCCTTCTCTTTTGTATGTCTTTTTCATTGCCATATAGCAATCACAGTTGAAAAGGGCAATAAAGGATTTCTTTCAATACTCTTCTTCTATTTTCTTCTTAAATGAAATAAAATGCGAAATGAGAGATAGGGAGAAGAAAAAAGAAAATTAATTAACTGCTAATAAAACTGCTTAGAGTTTTAATCCACTTGTACGAGACTTGATTCAAATCCTCTATCCGCTATTAACTGCATTTGTGAACTGCTTTACTCTCAGTTATTATATTCATTTCCTTTCTTTCTATTCTTTTCTCTCTATATCTTTTAAGTATATATGTATCACCACATAACAAAAGAATAGCTCGGTCGGTAGCAAGCCATTATGAGGATATTTGTTCTTTTTCAACAAACAGAAATGAAATTTGAGCATTCTCTTCTTTCAATTATCTGATTACAACAAGTTGGTCATTGTGAGACAGCAATGGATTGTCGGATTGTCGTAATTGAATTTGAACCATTTGCAATGATACATTTGGAAGATAAAAACGCTTTACGATAATTTACAAATAAAAAAGTTAATTTATGTCTCATGAGATTTCTGCATCATCATGAATTATTTCATTTACACACATCCAAACTGACTCACATGTAAAATAACTTTCAGCTTTTAACGAAGTTCTATAGAATGTGGCATTAAAATTTATTGGGTTGTTTGGACTGTGTTTTAAAAATTTTCGAATATCTTATTTTTAAATTTAGCTATGTGAAATTTTATTAAACCAAAACTAGATCGTCGGACTCAAAAACTAAGGATGACTGTAAGTTTAATTATCTTACACAAAGATTAAAATTAAAGTTATCCAAAGATTTTCGTTTATGATTCTTAATTGAAAGAAAAAATATAAATTTTTTTCATCACATTCAGGGGTTAAGACTCGATCGACTTTTTAATGCTTGATGTTTGAGTACCGACTAATTTTTGTAAGAAAATCTCTCTGGTATCGAGTATGGAGAATAAGAAAAGTTTTAATCCTTGTTTCTATAGGGCCGTTCACTTATTACGTAACGCTTTTAAGGGGGAGAGGGGGTCTATGATTTTGTTACGGTTCTAACAAAAGAAATTTTTTTCATACAAATTTTGTTACGAGAGAGAGAGGGGGGGGTCTAAAAAGTCGTTTTTTCACGTTACGTAATAAGTGAACGGCCCCATATTTAATGTTAAATTTTTCAAGTTAAATATTCGCCTTCAATGAGTAAATTTACATAAAGAATGCGAACATTGAGAGAAGAATTTAAAGATGTCCTTATCTTTAATCGTAATAAGTAATGAAGGAACCGCACAATTTTCAAAAGTTACACATACGTAATATGGCAAAATTGAATTTTCTTCTCAAGCGAACATGTTTGTGGTTGACTGATACAATCAGAATAACGTTTTACCTGTAGAGCTTCCTTATGAAGAGAACATTTTGTTGTAAAGCACTTTGTAGCCAGCTAATGGAATTTTCTTCATCTGATTTACCACAAGAGAATGTGCTTGAAGACGTTATAATAATATGGGTTTGCAGTGTATTATTTACGATACTGAATGGAGAATCATATTTAACTTTTAAGTTGACTTTAATACAAAAAAAAGTTTATTAACTACGAAGAAAATGAAAAACGATTTCTTAATAATTATCTGATTTTTTCTTCTGAAGTTGTAGTGCTTTTGATATAAATAGGAAAATGATAATGTTGAAATATTTTTTAAAATATACTCCATACTTATTGTTTTCGTGATTGGTAAAATTTAGTGTTCTTAATACAAAAAGTGCCTCTGCTTAATTCTTTCGATGTAATCATCCGTAAAATTAATTAATTGAACCGAATAATTACAGATAGATTAATATAACATTCGATACTATTTTATAACTTTTGGTTGATTTTGCGTGTTGGATTACTTTCATTCAACTGAATGCATTTGTTCAATATGATGGAATAAATGATTTATTTGTCTGGATGGTATTTGATAAGGACATGCTCTTTACAACAAAAACAAAAAAAAAGTATAATAACAACATGAACATGAATGAAATAAATGTTAATTAAAAGATTGCCTTAAGAATAGATTGTTAAGATTTTTACTTATTTTTGTTATTCCAAATTACTATTTTGAACGCTTTTAAGCGGTTGGGGTTAAGATTTTGTGATTGTTTAAACAAAGGATTTATTTTTTCATAAAAAAGTCAGGAATAAGGAGAAAAACAGTTTTTTTGTGTTACGTAATAAGTGAACGACCCTTAACCTTTGATATTCACAAAACAACAATGGTAGACTCTTAAAATATTTTATAGAGAAAGTATTTCAAAAATATGACTGCGTTCAATAAAATACGAAAGTTTTAAAACATTTCGTAGAATTTTTTTTATAAATCACATGAAATTGATTTATATTTATTGAACCAAAAAACTGTTTTCAATCTTCTTTCCTTTTGCTCTATTTTCTAGATCAATGAGCATCACAAAAGATCTTCCTCTCACACCTAAGATCTATCCATACAGATTAGATGTTTACAGTATTTTACGTTTAGGCAAAATATTTACAAGCAACTTCTTTTTGAAATAAAATGAAAACAAGCGTAATGTTATTGAAATTAAAAAGGAAAGAGAACGCTTGGGTCACTTAGGATTACATCAAATATTTCCTATACAACACTGTAGGCTGAAAATTCCAAGCATAAAAGGGGGATCAAACATTATTATGAACGTATGAATAAATCTATTTACTTATCAATTCAAGCGCATATGGTCATCATCTAGTACATTATTATGAAATGATGTTTTCAGCAATAAATAAACTTATCTCTCTGTGCTTTAATTTAGTTGTGCATACATTGGGAACCTCGAAGGTTAGTGGATAAATAAGCAAAAAGAAGTCAAAATGGTAAAAGCTTGTTTGCTGCTGTATCTGTTATTGACATTATCTTTGCATAGTTTTGGAGGTAAATTAAAATTATACCATTTATTGATGTTTATTTATGTTCATTGGTTTTCTGTTTTTGAACTTTATTGTAAAAATGTGGATAGGACTTTGTAAACACAATTTTAATGTATTATGGTGTTAATAATATCCAAGATTAAACAGCTTTTCTAATTTCGTTTTATTTTCTCTTGGATCATCCATACTTCTATTTATTTTAGTTTTTAAGAAAACACTTCAAAGAAAAATAATTAAACTTAAAGCTTAAACTTTGATAACAATTTGGAACTTAAGTTTTTCTTTTTTTAGAAATAACCTAATGAATCATAGAATTGAATGTAGTAGTTTTTCACATTTCAGTTTCCGCGTGGAATTTCAATTTATTTGTAGTTAAGCGTAATAGGTGTAATTCAAAAATTATTTTATTGAATTTTCGTGCAAAAAGTTTAATAATAGATTAAATTCACAAAAATATATTTATATTTACTTTCATAAAACTATGTTTAATTTTTTTGCATATCGGCAAGTCTTTTATAATAAAACAAATCAAAGTAAATTTGATTACCCTGTTTTTATGTTATAAGCCTGTGGCTTAGTCGAGAAAAAAGTGAACTCTGTACTCTGAAGTAACTTACACCTAAAAGCCGGTGTTTTAGATAAATAAAATGAAATGATCAAAATGAATGTTTAAATTCATAAAATTACAAAGTGCTAAACAGCTTCACGCGCATGAGATTTAATAGACTGAAATAATAATTTAAATAAAGCATGTAAATTGACATTGAATTTTTTTATTCACACCGTATTCAAATGTGAGTGTTTTTCTCTTGTCAGACCTTTGGTTGAAATTGAGAAAAAAGATTTTACAATTCTTAAAAGAAATTTTGTGGATATGCTTCATTCTTAAAATATTGGAACATATAAAGTATGTGATCCAAAGTTAAAAACAATCAAAAATCCCTGTCTGCAATACTTTTTAAAGTACGGTTGGGTTTCCATCTAATATAATTGGTTTTCTTTCCTTTCAAGTTATCTTTAGCCTATACTTGTGTACACATATTATGAGTTGTATTCACTAATGTGAAAAAGTTCACAAATGGGTCGTTCTTTTTTTCATTACACTTTAAAGAAAGTGGAAGTCTCAGATCTTTTGTTTTCTAACATTTGTTTTATTAACAATTTTTTGTTTGTAATTTTTAGAAGCAAATGATGTTTGGGTTGAAACAAATATTGATAAATTAAAATCTAGTTTATTAAAGAACTATGACAGATTTGCCAGACCTGAAGATGCAAGCGTGACTACAAATTTATATATTAGTCTTACGGTAATCCATATGGAATTACATGAAACAAAAGGTATTCTAGAGACTCATGCATGGATTAAACTGAAGTGGACGGATAACAAATTAAAATGGAACATAAGTGATTACGATAATATCACTCATTTTCATGTTTCAGCTGATGAAGTGAGTACAAATAAATTGAAGTATAATGGGATAGTTCACTTATTTAGTAGCCCAAAAAATCTTTCTTGTGAATGACCCCAATGTAAAATAATATTCACGCAGAAATACAGATTTTATACGACAATTTATTTTTGTTTTCTAAATTATTTTATTACCTGAGTTGAATGTATAAATACGTAATGCTGTACGTTTATCAAGCCAGTTTATTTTACATTTGCATTTTCAATGGTTAACATACCGAAAATTGGAGAATATACTAAATGTGTCTACAAAAATTTTATGCTTTATGAATGATGTGTATATTATGTAAATTTAAAAGATAAGAGCAAGTTCCTGCATTAAATCGATGATTTCTTGTTATTACAGATATGGACACCAGACTTAACAGTTTATAATAGTGCAGAAGCTCAAATTATCGATCATTTTGCAAAGACTAATAAGATTATTTATAGCAATGGAGATATTTTATGGGTAAGGAGATACAAAAAAATTTTCAGACATCTATTTACAGTGGGTGTGAAGTACGGCCGAGACCTATATCGACACAGTTTAAAAGTTATACCTAATTTATGTCATAATTATGTCGGTTACAAAACACTTAGTTTGAATTTTGTCAACCTCGGGAACACTATGAACCAGTTGGATTTTGGACCAAATCTCGGCCATACTTCACACTTATTTGAACAACATTTTTTCGTAAATGTTAAAATATTTTTAAAAAGGAACTAATCCTGAATTATGTCGCTATTTTGTCAAGTCTTTTAAGATAAAGAAAACTTTTTTTGGTTTCCACAGTGAAGAGTATGAACAAAATTCAGGTGGGATAGTCGAAATTTTAGCTTTCGATTTTTTTAAGCTATGCATTAAAAAATAATATTAGTGTGTGATTTATGTCAGAATTATGTCAATTTAAATAAAACATTCAAAACTAGTGTATCGGGTAGAAACCCAATACGGATTATATTCACACCGTACCATCAAAAGTATTATGGATAGACCAAGATTTGCCCAGTATAAGTATGAAGGTATGAAGCTTGATAAGTCAACTGAGCTTCGCTCAGCATAAGTCTGAAGGTGAAAAGCTAGCGAGTCAGCTGAGTTTCGCTCAGCATATGTAAAGCATACGTTAAAGCTTAACGGACATTCTTTAAAAATTTTTTAAAAATTTTTTCATCCAAAGTTTAATACGTCAACTTTTGTTTTGAAAAATTCGTAATAAAGGAAAGTTTTTTGCTTTTTCTGAAGCAACGGCTGTTCCTACCTTGCCCAAAACCAAAACATCTCTTCTATAGAGCAGCACGAATCAAATGTAAAAAACTAGAAGTCTCTACGATGTCTCGTTATTGAGATTTCTTGCTGATTAACTTGAAAATGATGTAAAATTTCAGGCACAAACTTTTTTTTGACCAAAGTACACCATAGAAAATCAATTTTCCATTTTGGACTAGGGGCGATCCTAGTCAAAATCAATTTTATCATTATTTTCTTCGAGGGTTTATCCAAATGGATTGAAACTTTGAATGAATATTCTAATGCTTAAAACAAATACAAATAAAACATCCTAAAATTTTTTTGAGCAAAGAACCAAGTAGGAAATACATTTTTAATTTTGGACTAGGGGCGACCCTAGTCAAAATCAATTTTGTCACTTTTTTCTTCGAGGGTTTATACAAATGGATTGAAACTTTGTGTGAGCATACTAATATTTATGCAAAAGAGTTTTAAATATCTAAAACAAGAAAAGTATTCTATAAGTGGTCACTTCCAAATTTTATAAATTTGGTTGTACATTCAAAAACAACTGGACTTAAAATTTTGTCCATTGTTCGAGTAAAATGATTTTTTTGAATTTAGAAATGTGTTAACTGAGTATTAGAATGCTCAAACAAAGTTTCACTGTATTTGGATTTATCCTCGAAGAAAAAAAATGAAAAACTAGATTTTGTTTCGGCTTGTCCCTACTTCATAATTAAAAATGTATTTCCTACTTGGTTCTTTAATCAAAAAATTTTAGAATGTTGTATTTGTATTTTTTTGAAGCACTAGAATATTTATGCAAAGTTTCAATCCTTTTGGATAAACCCTCGAAGTAAAAAATTGACAAAATTGATTTTGACTAGGATCGCCCCTAGTCCAAAATTGAAAATGTATTTCATACTTGGTTCTTTGCTCAAAAAAATTTTAGGATGTTTTATTTGTATTTGTTTTAAGCACCAGAATATTCATGCAAAGTTTCAATCCATTTGGATAAACCCTCGAAGAAAAAAGTGACAAAATTGATTTTGAGAAGGGTTGCCCCTAGTCCAAAATTGAAACGTGACTTTCTATGGTGTACTTTGATCAAAAATTTTTTTTGAATGTTTTATTTGAATTGACATAATTCTGACATAAATCACTTACGAATATTATTATTTCTAATGCATAGCCTAAAAAAATCGAAAGCTGAAATTTCGACTATCCCACGTGAATTTTGTTCATACTCTTCACTTTGGAAACCAAAAAAAGTTTTCTTTATCTTAAAAGACTTGACAAAATAGCGACATAATTCAGGATTAGTTCCTTTATAAAAATATTTGAATATTTACGAGAAAATGTTGTTCAAATAAGTGTGAAGTATGGCCGAGATTTGGTCCAAAATCCAACTGGTTCATAGTGTTCCCGAGGTTGACAAAATTCAAACTAGGTGTTTTGTAACCGACATAATTATGACACAAATTAGGTATAACTTTTGAACTGTGTCGATATAGGTCTCGGCCGTACTTCACGCTCACCTATTTAGATGTGTGTTTTGTGTTTTAATAGTATTCATATAAGACAAGAGCATTTGATAATAACTCGCATTTATTATTCGATAGTAATATTTGATAATTTATTTTTATTTGTGTAAGGTACCAACAGCAAAATTTGAAACATATTGCAATATGGACCTAAAGATTTGGCCGTTTGATGAGCAAAAGTGTGAAATTAAAATTGGCTCATGGACATACAATTCAAACCAAATTAATTTGAAAATGGACATGGTTACCCCAATCGATGTAATATGAAATTGTGCATGAAATAATTTAAGAAATCTATACTAACTTCCTTAACATATTTTCTCTTTATTAACAATCAATCAAATTTTTTAAATTAAAACTTCAAAAATAACTTTTAGGTTTAAGGAAACTCTCCATTTCATGTTGAATTTAACATTAAAAGTCAAGGAAGTGATCTATCTTTTACATTTTACACAAAATTAAACTACTGAGTAAATAGAATAATAGAAACCAGAAAATATTCATGCTTCACAAATTTTTGTGAAGTCAAAATGTTTTCATAATTATATATTATAATTGTCCTATAACGACTTTAATTACTATCACTGTTTTCACAATATTTAAAAATATTACCGATAATTATACGAATTGATAAAATTTGTAAAACTCTGTTTAAATAATTAGTAATTATACCAAATTATACTATGTTTATTTATTCAGGCTAAATCACATTATAATAATTTAGAATGGGAAGTTTTGAATGGCACAGCAGAACGTCATGAAAAATTTTACTCTTGCTGTCCTGAGCCATATGGAGATGTTAGTAAGTATACAATGTACATAGTACTTATGAAAGTAAGTATAATTTGATGATGTAAGAATTTATTAAATATATATTTAATCAGTTAATTGCACTGACTACATCTGCACATAATTCTACTTACAATTATGATGTACTAATAAAATTCAATTATTTTCCCATTTTATTATATTACAGCATTTTACTTGAACTTTCGTCGTCGTTCGCCAATGTTTAAAGCTATAGCAATTGTCCCAGCAGCAGCAATTGTATTTATGACATTAACAGCATTTTGGTTGCCACCTCAAGCTGGCGAAAAATTGTTGCTCAATGGATTTGCATGCATCATGATTTGCATACTGCTTATGTACTTTTCCCAACTGCTTCCTATATTAGCGGCTAGTTCACCTATAATAGGTATTGATTTTTTTTCGTTCTGTTTGACCTCATTAGAAATAAAAGACACACTAGTTTTCTCCAATTTCAAATGGACCAATTTCGTTTATAGTGTACAAAGTTTTTTTTTCCTAATGTTAATATTTATCGAAATATCCCGTATTTCATAAATTTTAATTTCTTTTAAAGTGACAATATACAGCCATACACTTTATTTGTTGTGCATTTCATTCATCATATCTGCCATAGTCATCAATATGTCTCGGAACAGAAAGTATTCACCTATACCAACTCCAATCAAAGCAATACTTTTGGATGGAATAATTGGAAAAACTTTTTGCAGATCACAACCTAATACTATTATTGGAGATAATCAAGCCGAAGAATTAAAAAAGGCACCTTTTGAGGAAAATGATGACATTCAGATTATTCAAACTAATATACGTACGAAAGCTCAATTAATTCAAAATGAATGGATTCATCTTGCAAGCATAATTGATCGTATTGCATTTGTTATATATGTTATTATATTTATTCTAATGGGATTTATACACTTTATTTAATATTGATATGACATTAATTCCCTTTAATAACTCATCTTTATCCGTGCTATGGGAACATTTATGAATTTTTTTATTATGGTTTTCTCTCATTTAATACATGTATTATTTTTTGAATACTGTCATACAATTTCCATACGTTAATTTATACATCATTCAATTAATCAATATTAATATACATAGTAAACAGTTTGATATTGATTGCTTGTTTGTTTGAGCATGCATAAAACTTTATTTTGTAATGAATAATAATTTGCATTAACATTACATTTGATAAATTTTAATGAAGCGAGCATTTTATTATTCATGATAATCCCAAAATGAATTAAATACTTTACACGTAAATGTAAATCTTTATTTTTAAATTATTTTCAAACTTGATCTTTGCTCATTTTGAGTTGCTTTAATGAAAATGAAGAGAAAAAAAATTAATAATAAACTGAAAAACGTAGTAAAAACAATAATATTTTTATATAATAAGTATGATAGCCAAATGCGGTTATGCAATATATTATATTCTTTTTCTATTATAAATTAAACATAAAAATGGAATGCAAAATAATATTTCCATTTAAAAAACATTATAATTTCGAAATTAATATATAATTTCATAATCAACAAATTCATTAAAATGCAAACAGAATAATTTTCATTTTTTACAACATTTAATTTAAAATGAATTTCAGCATTTACGTACAGGATATTTTATAGTACACAAAATATAATAAATATTTTCTTGCAAAAAACCATGGAGTTAAAACCAAATTAATTTAAAACCACAATTACCGAGACTATAAAACGAATTTGATTATGGAAGAAGTAAAAATTTGTTGTGCGAGAAACTAATTTATTTTACTAATGTATCAATTCCTGAAAACATTTTTTTCTACAAAAAAAACTATAATTTTTAAGTTATGAAGTCTTCTTTATTTATAATTGTTTCATTAAATTCATTAATGTTTCAAACCAAATCTCATTTATTTTTGATAAATTCTTTAATTGAGTATGAAAAATTTATCTATTACTCATTTACACTGTTAAAGCAAATTTTATCTAATTTCTGTATATTTAAAAAAAAACAAAACAGATTCAATGGTGTGAATATAATATTTTAGTTTTTGCGTTCAACTAGTGTCACCATAATGGAAAATTCGTTTCAGGTAAGCATCATTTTGTGACATTAAATTGTGCCCTTTGGCATTTCGAAGTTTTCTTAATGTAAGTTTTTCTAAATCACGTTTTTCTAAATGTGTTTTTAATAATTTTCTAATGCGATTAGAAAACAATTAAAATCTTTCCTCGCTACTTAAGCAAAGCATATTGAAAATTGGGGGGAATAAGATAAAGAATAGAAAATGAAATTTTTTATTGACAGTCATTTCCTTAACTTTTTCATATGAAATGCCACCCACAAAATCCTGCTTTCAAGTAATTAAAAATATTTGGAGAAATTTTATTCATGAGAACTTAAGACTAAGATTTTAGACATTAGAGAGCATACTGTTGAGAATTTATATTCAGTTTATATTTCCCTAAGGTGTCAATAGTACTTTTCTGAATGACTGAACTAGAGAAAGACAAAGATGGAGAAACGAGTTAAATTGAGATGGGACGAAGACAATGATAAAGTTTTTGCGGATATCATGATTCTTATAAAAACTATCAATCTTCCTCACGATTTTTAAGATTCTTTTTTGTTATTTTAGTTTTGCCTATTCTAGTCAGCAGTTTAATAAGAAGTTTTTCCAAAGCATCGAGACAGATATAAAAAAAATAGTTTGAAATCTCAAAATAGAAAACTTGAAAAATTTAATTTAATGGTTGAGTGTGCAAGCAGAAAAATGTATTTATCTAAACTAAACGACAGTGTTCAAGGTATGTGTAGTTAGACCAATATGAAAACGAGTTAAAAATTATTTCTTATATTTTTTAAAAAAGCTTTTTGATTTAGAAAAAAATCTAGTTTTTGAAAGTTTCGTAAAAAAACAATTTCCTTCCAGTAATGACGCAACACATTTTTCTATTATTCACCATTTATAGAAGCAACCATTCAGACGAAAATAATGGACATACGCTCAAATTTCTCAAAGTACGCTAAAAATATCTAGAACGAATTTAATACTTCAATGAACATGACAAGTACAGATAATTTCTTATTTGGAAACAGTTTTAGACATTGAATAAGAAGAAAAACTACTTCTTTTCTTTATTGCCCACTTGTATTTTTTTTTTCTATAAAATAGATTGACAAATTATTCGGTATTATATGTAAGGAAACTCAACACCTGATATGAGCTTTTGTAAGATTAATGTAATTATCTACTAGTGTGACGAATACTGATTAAATTTACCATGGCCTGTCTATTGCTTGGCAGGTATTGTAGTAAGCAATTTCTTTGACGTTTTGTAACAAAAAATAGAAAAAAAAATTCACCAAAAATCCGTGAATTTGATAAGCTTTTAATGTGTTTCTTTTTTTATTATAAAAACTAAAACTTAGTTGTAGTAATTCGTTAATTACAGATTTTTATATCAAGTGAATTGAAAATTTTGGATTTTATTATTAATATTTATTAAAAGTACATTTTAATTCTATTATTTTTTGATTAATTTATCGAAATCTAAGAATGAAACCTAATTTTAATACTTTTGAAAGACCTATATTTAAAAGTTTACGGTAGAATTACCAATTCGTTATAAAGTATGAACAGTAATAAATAAAAAGAAAAGTTTAATCGATTAAATGGAGGAAAAAAAAATTCAATGCTTTGATATCAATGAAACTTTCAGTTGCAGACTTTAAATAATGTGCAATAGTTTTCAATATCTATGATGTAAAGATACGTGGCTTCCAAAAAAATGTATAGACAACAGAAAGTAGCAAGAAACAAAAAATAAATTAATGTGTACTGGAGCAATATAAATAGTTGGCAGAAATTGAAAGATATTGTCAGTTGATACGAGGAATTCAATCAGAATAGAGAGACTTGATTTGGAGATTTAAGTCTTTTTGCAGTTTTATTTCGTTAAGAAAGAAAGAAACAAAAAAGAGAATAGCAATAAAAAATTCTTAATTTTCATTGAACATCAATTGTTGTGTGTTCTATATAATACGAGACAAAACATATAGAGTACCGAAAAATGCTTTCGACAACAAGAATAATTTTGTTAGGACTTTTATGTTGTGCAGTGATTGCAACAATCAATGCTCGTTATTTAAGTGATGATATGGAAGTTGCAGCATCGGATAAGCATGAAGAATGGAAAAAGGGCGGTGGAAAAGATCATTATGAAGACGAGCATTCTTCACATGGCGACAAAGGCGAAAAAGGATACAAGGAAAATCATGAACATGAGGAAGGCAAGTGACAACTTCATTTATACATTTAAAAAATTGTTTCCATCTCTTTCTGTATTCCTTTCTATTTCTGAGACAAAAACGATTACATTTTATACAGAGCATACACGTAAACGTATTATAATAATAAATTGATACTCTTTTGTAGGCAAAAAGGGTCATCATGATAAAGAAGACCATAAAAAATCATATCACGAGGAAGATGGACATAAGAAAAAACATCATGATGAAGGTTGATTCAAACTGACATATAACACTGCTTTATACTAATTTCTGAACAATTTACAGGTGGCTATCACCATGAGAAAAAAAAGGGAGAAGCTGGAGAAAAAGGTAATAATAGAATATAAGAAACGACAACAAAAAAGAAGCAAAATATGAAAATTAGTTTTATTTTCTTTTATGTGTATGAATACATAAAATTGAGATCCTTGAGATTACTCGTCTAGTCCCCTCAATCAACGTATCTATTTATCTGGATGATTTCAACTTTCCTTTTTCTCACATTTATGTGTGGGAAAGAAACAAAAGTTTGTCTTAATTAATGACTCTCTTTTCCATTAAATATATAAAACACTGAATACACCACAAGAATTTAATTAAGCATTCTTCTTAACTATGGAAGCCTTTTTAACCTAAAAAGAACATTTCAATTATTGTTATTAGGCAGTAAATGGGAAGAACATGGTTCATTCAAGAAAGGTCACAAGACTTCGGGAAAACATGAAATTCACAAATTAGACGAATCTAAAAAAGAGAAGAAATTCTTCGACGAAGACGGTGATGAAGGGTATGTATTACTGGATGATATTGCTTGAAATTTAATTGATTTTCTGCAATGAACAGAATTTTAATTTTTCTACTTCCACGCTTTATTTTAGAAAAGAATAACAAACTTCAGATTTTCTGAAGATTTTTTTAAATTAAAGTTTTTTTTTTTTTAAAAAAAGCGAGGAAGTTCTTAACAGAATATAGATTGTTATTTTCGCTTTACTTTCTTTTAAAACACATAGTTTTGATGAAGGCGAGGGACACTTCCATGAATCTTCAGGTCACAAAAAGGGCGGAAAGAAGAAGGAGGGACATAACAAATCAGCCAAACATCATGATCATTTCAGTAAGAAGGGAAGTCACAAAAAGGGATCACATCATGATGACGATGCCGGACACAAGCATGAAGATGGACATGAGGAACATTATGGTCACAAAGAAGAGCACGGAAAGAAAGGTTTGCTACTCACTTTCAATTATAAGATTTGATGTGAATGCTATAAAACTTTTTTCTCTTTTTCTTTTTCCTCATTTCTTCGATATCTTTTCTATTATACTTTATTTATTCCTACGCAGGAGGAAGTGATCACAGTAAAAAGTGGGGACATAAAAAAGGAAAAGGACATTAATTACAGTTAGGAACAAAAAAAAACAAACTATAAAACCAATCGATGAAGCTATATAAAATTTGTGATGTTATCCTTTTTATTTTTTAAACAAATAAACATATTCTTCCGTTTCTTGTTAAATATTGAAAAATAATTAAATGTTTTTTTCTGTACAATCTGAATTTACAGTCAACCTTTTTATTTTTGCATACCAACAAGTTTGAAACATATTTCGTAGAGTCAATGATGTTAATTGACTACAGGATACATATTTTATTTTAATGGCGCATATAAAATTAATCTCATCAAAGTGCATATCTTACAGTTTCATATAATTACAAAAGGAATAAAATAATATATTAAACCAATTTGAAAATTTTACATTTTATTTACTCAATACAGAGTAATTTTGAAGAATTTAAGAAATGACTTCTATATTGATAGCAAAAAATGTTTATCAATTTTATTCAAGACTTAAAGAGTCAAAAAAGATTAAGGACGATAAATTTGTATTGAAAGCTTCTTCTCAGTTTTTGATTCCAACCGATTTACAAACTTTTCTAATATTTGCTCTTTTTTTTGAGAATTCTCTATAAGAAGAAAACATAGCATGAGGAGGATTAAAATTTAAATTCCCTCGCTATGTGTACATAGCAAAAAATTTCTTTTCCTCATTGTTAAAGAAGAAAAATTTCTTGCATTTATCATGGAAAACTTTTACCATTTAGTTAGGCGAAATCGTGCTGAGTTAAAAAGCATCTTTGATAGAATTTCTCTTTTTTATATAATGCTTTAAACATTCATAAGATAAAATCATCAGAGAACAATTTAGCATTTTTGCTCAGTATTCGGTCGTTTTAATTACAACTAGTACTCTTCTGTTAAATGTTATGTGGAAACTTAGAGTGATTTTAATATGCCCGATGGGAAGCTTTAATTATTTTTTGTTTAATATGCAGAAAAAAAAAACTTTTCGAAGCGCAATCTTGATTTGTCGAAGATTAAAAATTATTTTATATTATATGCTCATCCTCCTTCTCAAGTTATAAGATGATTGTTAAAATGAGCAAATAAGCGAAGAAGACGATAGAGAAGAGGGGTTAGAAAGTTATTTCAATTATATTAGCAACTCAGTTGATAATAATAACAATAATAATAATAATGATGATGAAATCAAATTGACGTAATAAGGAACTTTTAATTAGCTTTTATTGTCCACTGTTGAATATAGCTATTTTGATTAATCACGTAGATAATTGATAGAAATGTTGAAATCTTATCAAAACTCCTAAATCAACTTAATTGCTTATCGTCTAAGAATAAATTTATACTTTTACCGTTCATACCGAATAGTATTGCTAGTATTATTACTTCTTCAACTTGGATTATTATAATTAATGCCGGTTGATGCAAATGAAAGGAAAACAAGCGCAGTCATTTCAAAAGATGGGATCAAGAGAGGATGAGGAGAGAAGGTAGAGTTAAAATTGCTTAAAGATTTATATGAGCCAGGAAATGCTAGAGGTTAATCATAAATTTACATTAATGAATGCTGCTCGCGAAAAAGTTGCTCTTTTAATGTTCATTGTAGTTTGATATTTTAAACGGTAAAATGCTGTAGCAAAAAACGAGAATTCCAAAGTTTCTCGACAATTCTTATTTCCCAACTTACATTTTATAGTATTATAATTTTTAAGCTTAGCTTTTATAGTTTAAAATATTATAGCGTGGTAATTATGTGCTACTGCTTACTATTTGCATTATCAAAATAAATATTATTTAATAATTTTTATTCTTCTGCACTGCAGTATTTCTTGTTTATAAATTCCCGGCAGCGTAAACTTGCACATTATTTCCTTTAGTCTTTATTTCCCGGGTGGACACAGCCAGTTGAAGTCCATTATTGGACAATCATTTAACAGTCTTTTAACTTGCCAAAATTTATACGACAAAGAGAACTCGACGTTAACTAGACTTTAACTGGACATTCATGCTAATCAATCAAGTGTTCGAAACTCAAAAATAATTTTCCTTACTTTTTTGACCATATACTTCACAAGTGCTTACAGAAATCACTTATATAAGGTCCACCAAAATTTGTATGAAACTTTTAAGTAAATATAATTGTTTCACGCGCAAGTGTTCGAGACTCAATTTTTACTAGAGATTTTTCATAAGTGATAGTGTACTTTAATTAATTAATTACACTAATACAATAATAAAATTTTACAAAAGAAAAAAATATGGAGAAAAAGACACGTGTTATTTATTTTATTTCGATTTTTTTGTAACTGGACATTAACTAGACATATTTGCAATTCCTATGTCCAGTTAAATGGAAAGCGCAAAATATGTCATTAGTCGTCCCTAAGTCTAGTTGCAAAGGCACGTCAATGGATACTTACTCGCCGTGAAAAGGCAAGTCAATGGCAAGCTTTTAACTAGTACTTTGTCCACTCGGGTTTGTTATGACATAATGCAATAACTTTTAAAATTAATGTATTAGGGTAAGTAATAAAGAAAATTTAGCGGAAACAGCATAGAAAAGTCTACAAATCAATTTTTTTAACAATTTCTATTCCTCATAAAATGTGTAGGTTTATTTTCAGTTTTTTTTAAAAAAAATTAAAGATATATCAAATGTAGCAACGAATGTGTTATTCTCCGTTTTGCAAGCTGGTGTCTGTCTGGTGGAGTTTTTGCAATCACTCTGTTAACTTTAGATGCCATGTTGGAGGTACAGCATATCAACTTTATTATTCATAGATTCCCATCCAAACTAAATTAGGTTGAATTTTCTATTTTTTAAAATACAATTGTGGAAAATCTTTGTGATGTAATTCCGGACTTGATATAAATATTAGCGGATCTCTTAACTGTTTTATAATAAAATTTTACTAGACCGTTCTTTTTACTAGTCTGTACATTCATTTATTCATTTTCTGAAATTAGCTACATACATATGTTTATGTTTTGTATTTTGATGATATGTGATTTTTAGTTTAGTGTATTTGAATCTTAAATCTGGAATTGAATTTGTTGATAAAAGCAGTAGATACAAGCAAGATTAGTCTATAACAAATAAAGATTAAAAAGTTTAAGTTTTTTGCTTTAAAATATGCAACCCAAAGCAGCCCAAAACTATTTTTAGGTACGGTTTGGTTTTACATTTGAAAAAATATTAAAAATCAAAACACATTAAAAGATTTGTACAAAATTAAAACTATTTCTCATAGTTTTTATGAATTTAATAAAAAAATGAGGAAAAAACTAGAAAGGTATGTTTTTAAATATTTTCTTTATTAATGCAAAAACACAATATATGACAATACATTAAAAAATTATAGTCTAAAAGAATTATGTTTTTTTTTCTCTTTCGCTCACTAATTTAATGAACTTTTTCATCACAAGCTCCTTTTTTTTCTAATGTACTCTCCTTCTTATTTACTTTAATGTCTATTTTCGTGACTGTGATTATTTAATAACATTTATTTTTTTCCTTACAAATATAACTAACGAACATACATATGTACAAAAATACTTTGTGAAAAATTTTTTTGAGAGCCTTTGCTGGAGAAAAAGGAAAAAAAGTGAAAAAAAAAATTACTGAAAGAATAATCAAAATTATTTTCTTCTCGCCTGAATTCTCTCTGCTATATATTTTCAGTGTATAATTTACCACACCATAAAAGCGTAAAAATACTCCACTCGTTCATTGCTATTTTTTGCTTATTCCATTTGAAAGAAAGAAGGAAACAAAAATCAATATCAGAATTTATTTTCATTCAACATAGAATGGTGATTTTTTTCATAAAAACGAATGAAAATATTCTTTGCCCCTTTTTGCTTTTTAGCAATAATTAACCTCTATGAGTTATGATACTTTCCTATTTTACTAAATTTTTTAAGTTCATTATATTCTGTTGGGTACGTACAATGTTCACGCCAGAAACACCTCTTGCAAACATGAAACAATAAACCTGTCAAAGTTTCAAATTAAAATTGAGAGCAGATAAAATTTTTGAATGAATTTCTGAAAAATATAAAATTCAAGAGTGTCTATCAACTTTTTAATAATTTAATATTTTTTTCTTTTTTAGTAATTTGAAACTTTTTCTTAATTATGTTTTTTAAAAAAAAAATCTCATAATACATAAATCATAATTCAAGTATAGAAAATTACATTTTCAATATTAAAGCTGACCTTCATGCTTTACAGCATTGGTCTTTAAAACCAAATATGTAAAAGTTCGAAAAAAGTACATACTTGATGGTATGGCAGCATGAGGGAAAACTTTTCTCTTCTATTTTTCGTTACCTGCCTGAAAACCTCAAAAAAACTCATGTAAATTGTAATCTTGATAAAAGCAAAAAGAAAGCAAAATGAGCCACTTTGAAGTAAACCTGCGTTCATTTCAAAATAAAGCTCTTTTTGATGCTTGTAAAGAGAAAAAGAGCAAAAATATAATAAAACTTTTTTTGTTCCTATAACAAAGGTAAAGAGTCTTCTTACTGAACTCCATTATTTTACTTTACGATTTCATCATTCATTGTGAACTTAAATGTTTGACTTCAATAAACTGTTAACTTTACACAGTTAAAATTAAGATACAATGCAATTTCAATAGGATATGGATTATGAAAAACAGTAAAATTGTAGTTTTTTTAATAAAATTTATATATAATTTTTAAGCGTTAGTTTTACATGCCCTCTTCATATAAGAAATTGACTTATAATTATAAGTCGAGCCTTTTTCTTTTCTTTTATTGCCATGTCAAATTAAAATGTTATTTTTATGACTTTGAAGCTAAGTTTTCTAACTTTTTGCCATGCGACACTTTAGCAAATTAAAACAAATTTTTAAAAACACTTGAATCCATTTCAAAACAATATAAATTACTCATTCCACCCAGTTGATAAAAAATATTTAACTTATATTTCTATAATGAACATAATTAATTTAAATATTCTGGTGAATTTCTTTAATCATTACAAGTACAAGATACAATTACTGTAAAAA